GGATCCAAGGAGGCTGCCTCAGACAGTGCTAACTCTGGGCTTTCCAGTTACTGTATCCAATAGGGAGAAGGATGTGGTGGGTAAGAAGACTGGGAAAAGCAGGAGAGGTTAGCCATGGTCTTCATGAAGACAGAAGGAAGACAGGGCTGAGGATGACAAAATGAGGGTGAAAGAAGCAGAGACAAAACTGTTTACTCTCTTACCCCACTCCACCCCCAGCAGGACTCCCCCACCTCCAGGCATTTGTTGTTTGTTGTTTTGTTTCATTTTGGCCACACTGCTTGGCATGCAGGATCTTAGTTCCTGGACCAGGGATCAAACCTGTTTCCCTGAAGTGGAAATACAGAATCTTAACCACTGTGGTGCAGGAAAAGGAAGGCCCCCCTGGGTGGGGTAGTAGACCCCTGCTCCATCACAAGCAACAGCGTGCTCCTAGGGAAGACGCTTCAGCTCTGGGCCTTGCTTTCCTCCTTTATAGAGAGGCTTTCTTGAGGTCTCTAAGGATGAATAACAGGGTGATGGTAGGGGGTTGATGTTGGATCCAGAAGAGTGTGGATTCTTGAAGTCAGCCACAAAACAAAGCCTCAGCCTTCCTCTCTGTCCCTCTCCCACCACCTTCCTATCACAAGTCACCCAGTGATTTGGCTCCTGTGGATGCGCTGCTAGTTTCTTTCCTTCTCACTCTGCCCACCTCCCTTCTTAAGCCTTTGATGCCCCAGATCCCTGAGTATAGGTAGGAAGGGTTGGGTGGTGGTTGCTAAAAACTTCCCTTTCTTTACACGTGGCCTCTACAAACATTAATTCTGCTTTGGAACCTTCATTGGGAATGTAAAGGGTGGAGTAAGAGATGGAGGCTAGGGGACAACCCCCTACAAAATCCCTATATTGTCAGAACTAAAGGTGCCTACAGCAAGTGGTCACTGGGGTCAGACTGTATCACACATCCATACTTCCCTCCTTTGCCTCTCTGCTTCCATGTACTAAGAGAGAGAGGGATGGCAGGGGGCGGGCATGGTGAGCAAGTGCCCCATTCCATGTTCTTGGTATTACTGGTTACTCTTAGCCAAGAGCCAACAGGACACTTTTGGTGAAGACATAATAGTTGTTTTTTCCTCCAAGAAGTTTTTCATAACTAATGTCCGTATAGCACTGCAGCATTTGTTTCCCAGGTGGCGCTAGTGGTAAAGAACCGACCTACGTGGTGGGCTCTAATCCACAGGGTTGCAAAGAGTCTGACACAACTGAGGTGACTTAGCACACACGCACGTAGCAATTGCATGTAAGTTTTCATTTAATCCCTACGACAGCCCCATCAAAGGGGGATTGACCTATTTCTACAAATGAAACACAGGTTCAAAGGTGTTTAATTATTTGCTCTTGGTAATATGTTGAGGAAGTGGCAGGACTAGGACTCAAACTAGATGCCAAGCTCCAGAGGAGCAGAGACCGTGCCTGTCTTACTCATCACTGTACTTGAAGCCGTTGCTGAATGAGTGCGTGAACTCAAAACTGGTTTAGATTCTCTGTGTTGTTCTTTGCAAACCTTTAAAACTAGGGTTCTACCACTGCAGAGACAACTTATATAGCCCTCAAGAAAAAGGTATCTATGGACACAAAATCCACCCAACACACACTCACACAAATCCAACTCACCCAAAAATACACTTCCTTTGCTTGGAGCTTAATTTTCAATATTTTTTCCAGGAACTGGGGTACAGGTCCCTGGCTATTAAGGGAAATGGAAAAAGGCAGCATTCCTTGCCCTGCGTTAGAAAGAGCCTGTGCACATTCCCCTTGGCCTCTGGGTGTTCTGGGCTGGTGGAGATAACCCAGGGGGCAGAAACAGCTGGCTTCCCTCTAGGGCCAAGAAATTAGCTGGGCAGCAGAGGGTGCTGCAGAGCTTCAAGACCTTGCATTGATGGGGTAATCTGATCCCCAGCCAGAATTTTCCAGAAATAACCAGGGTCTTGTTTGGGTGGTCTTCTTAGGCCTCTGGTGTTCTATGATCCTATAGCAATTTCTCTTCTTTTCTCCAGAAACTTAAGTGACACCTAAGAGGGAGCTGAGGGAGAGAGGGTAGAAAATATACTCTTTGGGATCAGAACTGGTTTTGAATTCCACTGCATCTTTTTGGACTGTGTGACCTGGGCAAGGGAGGTTATTAATTCTGTTGTGCAGAATCAGAGATGAATTTGTATCAGGAGTCTCTTATAAGCATAGAACCATCATTCCATGTATTAAGGGCCTACTCTGTGCCAGGCAGTCCGTGGCACTGGAGAGTCCATGTTGGAAAAAAAGCAAACTAGACCCCTGCTCTCACGGAGCTGATGGTTTAGTAGGGAAGACAGACTTTAATCAAATAACGCCACAGACAGATGACAAATCACACTTGTGCAATTAAGTGCAACAAAAGAGTAGTCTTAGAACTCAGGGAGGAGGAATTACCCAGGCAAGGAGATTTCCCTGAGGTAGAAAGGAGTAAGTCTAACTGGAAGGATGAGTAGGAAGCAAAAAAATGGAGAGAACAGGCCTTTCAAGAAAAGGGAATCACTTATGCGATGGTCATAAAGTGTGTGAGCCTGACCCAGGGGGCTACTGGAACAGCAGGGCAGAGAGAACAAGGTGGAGCTTGGTGGAAGATGAGGCCAGAGAAGCAGGGGTCGGATCACACAGGACCCCATAGGCCTCCTTAAGGAGTTCTATCTTTAGCTTAAGAACAATGGGAAAGCACAGAGGGTTATAATCACAGGCTACTGGCAAATATTCAGTTTTAAAAGGTCTCTCTGGCTGTCAAACTCATAGCAGATGGCTCGAACATCTACCCCTCAATGCACCTTCAGGTACTAAATTTGCTAAATACTGCTAGACAATCCTTCCTCCATATCCTTTGCATCCCTCAGCATCTCTTCATGGGATGATTGCAGTGGGGCTGGTCTCCCTGCCTCCAGTCACACCTCCTCTACACAGGCTTGGTTTTATTTGATCTTCACAGCATGCTTGCAGGTAAGCAAAGGAGCAATCCTTATTCTGATTTTGCAGATGAGAAAACTGAAGTATAGTGGTGATGTGGAACTGGCTTGTGAAAGACCACTGTTAAAATTTCAGAAATTTTGTAAGCCAGTTGTTAAACACAGCCAATTATTGAAAATTAAATCAAACAAACTTATAATTAAATGTATTAAAAACAATGTATTAAATTCCAAAAACTCATCACTTCTTAATAATTTTACTGTTATTATTTACCTATGCTCTTGAGGCTATTTGTATTACTGCTTCTGCTACATAATATGAAACTTCCACTTGAGAGTATTCTCTGTATTCAATAAAGTCAGGATGGTAGATTGAAACCAGCCTTGGTGGGAATCTTTGCACCATAGAATTGGCAAACACTACAGAAAGGGACTTGATTTATTGTTCCATTCTTTATGTAGATTTAAGAAAGTAATGGAGAATAATAATTCTGATTTTAAATGAATGTATTATGTCTGTAGCCATTACATTCTGGATAGACAAAGCTTGAGGAAACATTCTTTCAGTTATTTGAAAACTGTTTTCTGATCAGCAAGGAAGTTGCTCCCATAATTGACAGTTAAGACGTCTTTGTTTATTCATTTTTTTCTTACACTGACACAGAGGACATCAACCAATAACCATGTCACAATTACATCCCCCTCCTCAACAGAAACCAGTTTGGCTACCCATATAGGAGTTTGGCAAAAATCAATGAAAGTATTGTGAGAATAAATTCTGTGGTTATAAAGAATTTGCAAATGTACATTATTATTTGTAAATTCTGTGCTACATATCCTTTACATCAGTACTGCTGCTGCTGCTAAGTCGCTTCAGTCTTGTCCGACTCTGTGCGACCCCATAGACAGCAGCCCACCAGGCTCCCCGTCCCTGGGATTCTCCAGGCAAGAACACTGGAGTGGGTTCCCATTTTCCTCTCCAATGCATTAAAGTGAAAAGTGAAAGTGAAGTCGCTAGGCGTGTCCGACTCTTAGCGACCCCAAGGATTGCAGCCCACCAGGCTCCTCCGTCCATGGGATTTTCCAGGCAAGAGTACTGGAGTGGGGTGTCATTGCCTTCTCTGCCTATCTCAGTACAATTTCTGATAAATTTATGTACATATATATCATATGCATACATTCCCCTTTTCTCCCAACAGTCGGCCGTTCAACATTTATCAGCACAGCCCTGGCTCTAGAACATATTCCTCATGTGTCATTCTATAAATATTCACTGGATGCCAAGGCGGGGATACAGTCAATGAACAAATGACTCGTCCACGGTCACACATCGCAAGCTGCATAGGCAGGACCAGAGCCAGAGGTATTGTCCTCCCAAGGCCAACGGCTCTCTCCCAGGACGATACCAGGCTTTCCAGGGCCATCCCACCTTACCCTCAGCCGAAGGGGTGGTTTCGCCCAGAGCGCCCAGGAAGTGAAAAACCGGGGTCGGAGTTGAGGACTAAAGACCAGGCGAGAAGCAAGCAGCTCACGACCAATAGCGGCCCAGGCCTCGCGCAACGTCACTCTCGGTAGAGGCCAGGGCGAGCAAGCCCTGGGGGAGGGGGCGTGACCACCATCTCCAGGAAGTGACGCAACCTGGGGGCGGTGCTCGGTGGCGGCGACGCGCGGCCTGGGCTCGCGCTGGGCTCCGCGCGCCCCCCGCCCCCTCTATGAGGCAGAGGCCGCGGCGGCCGTTAGCGCTGTCGCTCCGGGGGCCGCGGCGGGCGGGGCTCCGGCGGGGCCTGGCCTAGTCCCCACCCCAGCCGGGCTCCCAGCCGCCCGCCCTCCCTCTCCCCAATGCAGGGGGCCGAACTCCGGGATGGTGAGGCGGCGGCGGCGGCCGCTTCGTACCGCGTCCTGAGCCGCCTGCTCGGCTATGGAGAGGCGGCCCCCGAGCCAGGCCCGCCGCCGCCGCCCCCGGGCCATGGCCCCGCACCGCCACCCTTCCTCGCGCGGCCCGGCCCGCGGGGCTCCAGGCCGCCTCAGCTGATGGTGTTCCGCAACGTGGGTCGGCCGCCGGAGGAGGAGGACGCGGAGGCGGCCCAGGAGCCGGGACCCTCGGAACTGCTGTGTCCCCGGCACCGCTGTGCCCTGGACCCCAAGGCCCTGCCGCCGGGGTTGGCGCTAGAGCGGACCTGGGGCCCGGCGGCTGGACTGGAGGCGCAGTTGGCCGCTCTGGGGCTCGGGCAGCCGGCGGGGCCGGGGGTCAAGATGGTCGGTGGGGGTTGCTGCCCGTGCCCGTGTCCCCCGCAGCCGCTCCCTCCGCAGCCCCAGCCGCCTGCTGCCGCCCCGCAGGCCGGGGAGGACCCCACGGAAACGAGCGACGCGCTGCTGGTCCTGGAGGGCTTGGAGTCGGAGGCAGAGAGCCTGGAGACTAACAGCTGCTCGGAAGAGGAGCTCAGCAGCCCGGGCCGCGGAGGAGGAGGAGGGGGCGGCCGGCTTCTACTGCAGCCCCCCGGCCCTGAATTGCCCCCGGTGCCCTTCCCGATGCAGGACTTGGTCCCTCCCGGGCGCTTGAGTCGAGGGGAGCAGCTGCAGCAGCCTCCCCCGCCGCCACCTCCTCCTGGGCCCCTCCGGCCACTCGCCGGCCTTTCTCGGAAGGGCTCCCTCAAAATCCGCCTCAGTCGCCTCTTTCGCACGAAGAGCTGCAACGGTGGCTCTGGCTGTGGGGATGGGGCCGGCAAGAGGCCTTCTGGAGAGCTGGCTGCTTCAGCTGCGAGCCTGACAGACATGGGCGGCTCTGCGGGCCGGGAGCTGGACCCGGGGAGGTGAGACCGGTTCGGGGGCATTGGTGCTGGCTGACAAACTTCCTTTTCTCATTTCATTTCCCTTTTATTCTACTGCTAAAAAGATCCTGACAGTTCTTAAGATGTGGCCTTCATCAGGAGGCAGAGACTTGGGGCTAAAGGTGGTAATACCGCCTAATAGGTCAGAGCTGTTTGTGGGAGCAGCCTTCACTCCCCCCCACCCCCACCCCCACTTCTCAGCTGGTTAGCATCTCTCTAGTTGGGCGGTGATTTGAAACCACCCCGCCGCCACCCCCGCCCAGCTTTTAAAGTTTTTTCAAGGTATATGTGTACCATTACCCTGGCAGGAAGCTTGCTGGAAAGTTGTGGCCTTTGGGGCCGAAAGTTTGAGTTTGACCACCTTGCTTATTCTTTCTGTGTACCAGCACCTCACACTCTTCACACTCATGCATGCAAATGGTGTGACAAACTTGTGTAGTTGTAGGCCAGCAGTTGACTGGGCATCTCTAGTCAAAATTTTAATGTTTTCTTGATTGGTTTCTTAGACATGATATCTCAAGCCTGTGTCTCACCACTGTGAGAAAAGAAAATAGCCTTGTTCTCAAACCTGTATGAGAATTCTAAGTATGGTGTGCATGCATACTCAGTTGTGTCTGACTCTGCAACCCACCAGGCCCCTCTGTTCATGGAATTTTCCAGGCAAGAATACTGGTATGGGTTGCCATTTCCTCCTCCAGACATCTTCCCCACCCAGGGGTCGAAACTGCATCTCTTGCATCTCCTGCATTGGCAGGCGGATTCTATACCACTGGGCCACCTGTATTGATACATGAATTCTACCCCAGTTGATGAAAATTCCAAACTTAGACATAGAGTTTTTTTCTGCATTTCTGAAGTGCAGACAGCTCTCTGACATCCAGTGTTAGATTTTCCCTTGTGGTAACTGCCACTGTGGTTTGCACTGCTGAATGGGTTCTTAGAACGTTTGGAATTGGTTTTGGTGCAGCTCATGTGATGGATTCATGAGATGCACCAGCAGCCACAACCCAAGGCTGAAAAACAGGTAGACAAATTGAGAATTTTACTGTGCACCAGATGCACGTGGGGAACTTTGGGAAAAGATCAGATGGCCCCAAAATTTGAATTTAAAAAAAAAACTCCCTCATATGATCTGGACTGAAAATCACTCATCTATGGACTTCTCCTTTCAAAGGAACTTTTTACTCCAAGAGGAAAGCATGGGGTCGTTTTTTTGTTGTTTCTTGGCCGCATGGCCTGGGGAATCTTAGTTCCTTGACTCAGGGATGGAACCTGTGTTCCCTGCAGTGGGAGTCTGGAGTCCTAATCACTGGACCGCCAGGAAATTCCTGGTCAGTTTGATTTTGTTGCCTTTTCTGAACAGCTTGCCAGGGTCTCATCTTGGGATCAGACAAAACCTAAACTCCCTGAAGAAACCAGTCAGTTGATGCGTGTTATCCCTTCAGGTAAATGTGTGTTTCACCATTTGCTTCCCAATGAACTCACGCTGGGAGCTCAGGTCTGAAAAAGCGTATGGCTGCTGAAGCAGCTTTTTTTCTGGTAGGCTCTGCATTCAATGCTCCACTTAGCGGTGTAGATGAAATTTTCATTTTCTGGGGGCAGGGCAGGATTGAAGCTGTGGGTAATGACCTAGGATAGATTGCTGATTTTCTTGTGGTTTGTCCTGCCTTTGTTCCATATTGACCAGGACTTGGTCTGAGATTCCAGAGACGCCAAATATGAGGTGTGGCGTGAAATTAGCTGCAACGTCTAATAGATTAGGAAGAGGAAAAGGCATATAACATTATACGGTTTTTTGCCTTTGGAAGCAGAATTTAATGGTCATTGGCTGCTCTGTCACCAACCCTCACGCTAAGCACAGTACCGATTTCTCCTGCAGAGCAAATTGGTCTGTAGCTCTGCAAAGAAGCTTAGTTCAGGGCACTGGAGAATTACATTTTTTGGTCCAAGAACTTTTTATGATGCATTGGAGAAGAGCTAGGTATTCGTGTATGAACGTTTGGTGACTGCTGTTAGGAGGCAGCCTGTTGTACAGAGAATATGAACATCTGGATGCCATGTAGGACTCCAACATCACCTGTGAGATGCAGGCCAATTTTGTTTTCTTTACGCTTCCCTCCTTTTTTAATCTGTAAAATGGGAGTGATTCCTGTCTTGTTCCTGACCTTATAGGAATAGAGTGAAGACGAGAGAAATTGAGATGGAATATTTTTTGCTTTTGGAGGAGAAGTAGTAAAATAGAACTGGTGAAGTTTTAAAAAATGCTTAGGATTTGGTACTGTTAGATTTTCTTGTTAGCTTTTCCATAGCTTACTATGTGCCAGTCTTGCTGGCAGTCTTGCAGCTGTGAGAAACTTGATAAGTCTGGCCAGGGTAGTTGTGATTTTTATGGATCTACACCTCCTTAGTAAGTCTGCCCTGTTGGGAGGAAGGATAAGTTTGGATTTTTAGCTTGTTCTCTTGTTTCTATTGGTAGGACCTGGAAGCCATGAGAAGTGTCAGCCTTTTGTCAGAAGGTATATGCCTGCCTTCTTATTGTTGGTTGGGGTTAATTATGAGTCTCCAGTATAATTTGGGGCTTTTGCAGTAACCTCTGGGCATGATTCTCTTTGCTTTTCTCAGCATTTACCTTTCCCACAGCTATCATGAGAAAGTATCTCCAACAATCATTTTTTTTTAATGTTTATTTTATTTTTGGCTGTGCTGGGTCTCCTATGCTGTGCACAAGCCTTCTCTAGTTGGAGTGAGCAGGGGCCACTCTTGGCTTCTCATTGCTGTGGCCTCTAGTTCCGGAGCGCAGCCTCTAGGCTTCAGTAGTTGTGGCTTGTGGACTCTGGAGCACTGAGTCCGTAGTTGCCTCAGGGTGTATGGGGTCTTCTCAGAGCAGGGGTTGAACCTGTGTCCCCTGCACTGGCAGGCCGCCTCTCAACCATTGGACCACCAGGGAAGCCCTCCTACAATTATTTTAAATTTTATTTTATTTTTTTTGGCAGTGCTGCATGGCATGTAGGATCTTAGTTCCTTGACCAGAGGAACTAACCTGCACCCCCTGTGGTGGAAGTACAGAGTCTTAACCACTGAACCACGAGGGAAGTCCCCCTATGATTATTTTACAAGACTTAATAGTTTCCATATTTTAAAAAAAATTATTTATTTATTTGGCTGTGATCTTTAGTTGAGGGACACAAGATCTAGTTCCTTGACCAGGGATTGAACCTAGGCCACCTGCATTCTTAGCCACTGGACCACCAGGGAAGTCCCTTGTATTTTAACATTAAGCAAAACTTTAGTTCCTTTCAGATGCTTTGGAGTCTGCCAAGTTGACCTTCCTGGATACACTGAGTCTTAGGCCCTGAGGTCTAGTATGAGTTAGCTTAGAGAACTCTTGAAGTGAAGGAATACATAGGTTTACCAGCTAATCAGGTTTCTGTTTTGGAGAACTGGGCTAGGCTGTGTAACACACATATGTTGAAATTCAGAGAGCTGGGCTTGATGCCTATGGGCTTCAGTGTTATATAGGATTGCTATTTCAGGAAAACCAGTGAAGTTCCCTTGTCTGGTTCACATATGTTTAACTGATTGTCTTCCTTTGTATTTGGTGAGAAATAGCATTCAACCCGACTTTTTTTTGAAGCATTCCATAATACACATTTGGTTGGAAATGGGTACCTTGTTCATTTCTCAAGGGTTTTTTTCCCCTACTTAATGGTTGAGGCTATTACTGGCAGTCTTCATAGTTGTGAGGTGGAAAAATGGAGAACAGTTTTGTAGTGGTTTCCTATCTATTTGTTTGGGAAAAAAGATACAGTTTTGGAAAGAGAGGCTGCCTTGGTGTCAGTTTGGGGCCCTGCTGTCATGGATAGACCTGGCAGACATGAGAAACCCTTTTCTCTGTTTTCTTGGGTCTTCAGGTCTAAGAGAGTCTTTTTGAGAAAGGGCGTGACATATTGAGAGAAAAATGATTTTATGGTGTGGTGAAGAGGGTCTGTCTTTATGTTTAGGTTTTGGGTCCATATTCTGTTGATCTTTTCAACTATTTTTCCATGAAGTGGTTGTGATTCGCAGCTCTGTTTTGGAATGAGCAACCTGGCTTTATAAATCTCTGTCCATTTGAGTCTTATGTCTTTTACTTCTTTACATTTTGCTCACTGACATCATTTCTAAGCTTTTAGACCTTGGGCTACCCCTCTGGGCTTTTCCCTGGAAGTTCCCTCCATAGGTTCTTTAGTTGGTTTATGGTGGAGTTTTGGATCTGACCTTGTTGCACAGATGTCTGTGTATTGGAACTAAAAATGAGCACATGGTTTTTGTGCCTATAGCACATGAACAGACACTGGCTTGTAATGTGTTGGAAATGGCACAGGCTGGCTGACTTGGCACTGTATGCTTTAACAGGGGCAGAGGTAAATTGTGGCTGCAAAACCTGATATTTGGATCCCTACTTTAAAAGTTAGCAAAAGACATGTGTAAGTCTTAGGACACTGTAGAGGGGATTTATGGACAAGAGAGAAAGAGCATTACTATGTCATTGTTTGTATTTTATGTTTCAGGGAATTTGAAAAGTGGCCAGTAGTTATATCAATGTGTTGTCAGCCTGTCTAGTCTAATGTTTTTAACTCCTTTTATCCCACAGATCTGTTGCCATTTAATTAGTAATTTGCAGAGTGGAGATGGACAGAGACATCTTATGTCTTTGTTACCCGAAGCACAAGCAGTGCATTGCTGACACAAAGGACTGCTAGCCTCAGAGAAGACCTAAGGTCTTCTGCTTGCCACCTGAGGCATAGCCCACCATGTCCTACCTGACATCACCCCTCAGGTCTTTCTGCTGCTAAGATGCAAGTGGTCGACTGGCAGAGTTACAGTGGCTTAGCTTTGTACCCTAATGCTTGTCAAGGTGATTTGGGGAGTAGATGACTAATATGGGAATGTCGTATTGAAGGGTTAGTTAAAAATTTTACCTGGAGCCATTTCATTCTTGTTGTTTTCCAAAAAACAGCATATCTAGCTTAGAATGGTTATCATTTTAAATGTTTCAGATATACAAAAAGAAATTTCTAAAATGTATATACTATAATAATGATGAAATGTATATTTAGGTAACCATCACTAAGCTTAACAAATAAAATGTTATCAGTATCTTTGAAGATCCCTGAGTGTGGCTTCCTGATTACATCTCCCCCCTCCCCAGTGTAACCACCATCCTCAATTTTATGTTAATCATTCCCTTGCTTTGTTTTTTATGTTTGTCTAGATTTGTCTTTTCATGAATGACTGCCATTAGAATGCTCTCAGGATCCTTGAGACAGAAACTGCTTTGGATTTTTAGTTAGACAATATCTCCCCAAAGAGAGAAGGAAGCACTTGTATTTGTTATTAGCCTTTCAGCCTCTTAGACCTTCTACCTCTCTAAGCTTCCTTATTTGTCTGAAAAAAAAAAACACAAACCATTCTGAGACACTCAAATGGCTCTGCCTGGGTTTAGAGTCATATATATTTCTTTTTCTAGATCCTAGAAACCATGATTTTCTTCTTCAAAATGCTGGGGGTGGGGAGAAGATGAGCTGGAGCGAGGCGGCCTCGGCAAGATGTGTGCATTGGGTGCTGCTGTTCTTCAGTGCTCGGCACTGAGGGGCTTCGTCCTCAGCATGGGCAGATGGCAGAGTGATGGAGCTTCCTTTGAAAAGAGGCAAACAGCCAAATGGCTGAGGTGTGAACCCTCTGAGAGGCCAGTGCTTTAGGTTTCTGCTTGCTGCGCTTAATGTTGTATCCACAAGTTACCAAATAAAAATCAGCTTGGACGCTCTTCAGTCTTAATGTCCAGTGGGATTCATTTTCTGTCCCAGACCTCTGGAGTGTTGGGACTAAGCTGCAGACTGCCACAAGCAACTTTTATAAATAGAGGGACCGTGTGTGCTCCTGTCTTTTGCGGATGCAGCCACCTCTCCTGTGTGTGCTGTGGGCGGGGCGTGCACAGTGGGCGCCGTCATTAGACTTCTCAAGTCTCAGCATGGAGGCGGCTGCAGAGGGAGTGTGAGATGGGTCAGGAAAGGGAGCCTAGCATCTCAGCTATTTCTGAGCAAGGCCTTCACAGTATGGTTTTGAAATTCCGTTTCAAGTGAGTTCTGAGAAGCACAGACATCTGTGTTAAAACATAAATGCATAAAGATCTTCCAAAGTCAAATAATTCAAAGTAGGACTTCATTTTGGATTTTCTTTGCTTTTCCCCATCTCTTGGTACAGTTGAAGTTTTATTTAAACCTTTGGGTGAGAGTAATTTTGGAAAGTGAGCCAGCTTTAAGGTGTGGAGTCAGGCATTTAATTTGGCAGTGGATTTTTTTTTTTAAAGGCTGATTTATTGAGATACAATTTATATGCCACCTAAAATTCACCTTCTTTTCGTTGCTTAGTTCTGTTAATTTTGACAGATGTCAAAATCATAACCTCTTCCACAATCAAGATACAGCATATTTTCATCACCTCCACTTCTTTCCCTTGTAGTCAGTTCAATCATCCTGAGATGATTAGCACATTTCTAGCCAGAAAGAATTTTATCAGTCTTTTGGATTCCTTTCATTTCATTTCTCACCCCAAGCCAGTTGAAGTTGGTGCAGTGTGAAGTTACCTTTGGTGTGTCTGCAGAAGTCTGGGTTTTCCAGCTGGTTTGGGAGCAGCATCAAGAACAGGCATGAGCTGCTATGACTAGCAGCTCAGACAAAGAAGAGGCCACCGTCTTTGGGTGCCAGGCAGAGCATCTTAACTTGAAGAGGCTCCCTTGTTGGCTGTTGGCTTTGACCCGTGGCTTGGGGGCATTTTGCAGAAATCAGAGGCCTTACTGGTTGAAGATTACATGTATATCCTGTAGTGCTATTCTCAAATCCAAAAATCTTGCCTGGTTCACTTTGGGACCTCCTGTTCCTAAGAGCAGGCCCAGAGGGAAAGCTGGTGCTCTGAAGCGGCACCTGTTCAGGTCAAGAGCCTTCCTCTTGGCTTTCCTGTGAGAATCAACTCTGCATCTGAATTCCTGCCTCTAGAAGTGGACTTGCTAATTACCACTCAAGATGTTTTACTCTTTTAAGGTGATGGGTGTGGAAAGCTCCAAAGAGATTTCTGAATTCTGTAGCCAAATCTATTTAAGGAATCGCCTTAATTATTTTATTTTTCCCTCTTTAAATTTTAGTCTTTATTACAAAAGTGCGGATGACAATGACTTGGGTTTGCTTTATTTTTCGGCGCATCTGGAATTGAGCACTGCAGTGATTTAAATGCATGTGTGTTCATTCTCCGCCTCATTCTCTGTGTGCTTTCTCACCCCTCAGGAAACCCAGGTTGACAAGAACTCAAAGTGCCTTTTCTCCAGTCTCCTTCAGCCCGCTATTCACAGGTAGGTGATCTGTTTCTTTTTCTCTAACATCTAAAAGCAGGACTGTTCTGAGACGTGTCAGGAAACACTTGCAGATGCATCGCAGAGGGAGCTGCAGGCATGTCTGCAGTTATTTTCTTCATTCTGTGCCTGCTGGGTTTGGGGTGACGCTATTTTTATGGTGTGGAATGTGTTCTTAACTTTGGATGCTTTATAGTTTGAGAGACTGCTTGCTGGTCATTAGGTGGCCCTGGCAGTTATGCAGGCTTTAGTTCAGGGTCATCACGTATAAATTAAAAGTAGAAAATACAAATTTATAGGCTCAGAGCACATAAAGGACTCTGGAAGTCATACAGTTCCTGTGCTTGCTTCCAAAGGGAGTTCATGGATTATCTAATAAACATGATCCACGATGATCTGGTCTATTTTTAAAGACTTTGGGTAAAGGGGAATCACATGAACTCTTGTCTTACCCATTTTGGGAGATAACAGTTCTTGCAGCTGTTAAGAGTTCTTATTGCATCTAATTTAAGTCTCTCCTCATGCAGCAGGGAACACAGTTGCTAAAGTAAGAAAGTGGTCAAATATCCTTTCACCTTCTCCTTTGAAGGGAGCTTTTTCTGGGAGGGAAACCTTTTGTTCTGTGAGTCAGGTGTGGAGTTTCTGCTTGAATGAGCTGTAGAAAAGGACATCTGGAGCACACAGCCTCAAGTTTCAAAAACTGAGCGCTCCTCGCTGGGTGTAGCCAAGAATCCTTTAAGCCTAATCCTAGTTTCAAACTCTTTTGGATATTGTGTCCCTCGAAAAAGATGATTACAAGAATTGTGATCTGGGACTGGAAATTTTCAGGAAAATTCAACAGGCTAGTGGAACCCCCATTACTGAGTAGACTGCTGTGAACTGTCAGAACAGGTGAGTTTGGTGCCTGTAATAGGCACCAGTGGAGGAGGAGGTCCTCTGTTCTTAGCCCAAGCAAGGAATTAAAGGATCTTATCCTGTAGCAGAATGTCTTTCTAGCTAGTAGTTGTTTCCCTTTTAAAGTGATGAAACTAACATCTGTAGTTTCAGGTCCCACGTTCTTATTTCAAAGAACCTTTAGCTCTCTTGAATTACTTCCTTTAAGTGCTATACTACCTACAAGCTAGACCTGTCTGACCCTTCTGGAAACCTGGGCTTGTTGCATTGCTCTGGGCAGTGAAAGTGAAAGTCGCTCATTCATGTCTGACTCTTTGAGACCTCATAGACTGTCCATGGAATTCTTTAGTCCAGAATACTGGAGTGGGTAACCTTTCCTTTCTCCAGGGGATCTTCCCTACCCAGGGGTGGAACCCAGGTCTCCCACATTGCCAGCAGATTTTTTACCAGCTGAGCCACAAGGGAAGTCCTGGGCACGTAGGCCCTCAGTAATTAAGCTGTGTGATGAATTCCTGGAACTTCCACTGATGACTTTTGGAAGAGCTTTTCTGCTTATCTTAGTGTTCAAGACCTTTGTTGGTCTTGGAAAAAAAAAGGATACCACAAACTGTATTAGGTTCTGAATGCGCAGTTCCTGGCCTTTTAGAGATATTTGTTACCTCATTTTCTTAACTGGGAAACATTAAGATTCTAGCTAGGGACTAATTCAGCTTCCTACAAAAGAAAAAGGTATTGGAAATAACACCCTGAGGGCCAAATTAGAGAAATCCCAAATTCTGACCTGTGGATAGGATCTACCAAAACAAACTGACTCTTTGCAACCTTCAACAGAAGGTTGATAAAATAGCCTTCATTCTCTGGTGATTCATGTGGAGAGAGGCTAGCTGTGCTGGGTGGCAACAAGGAGATTTGGTAGAGAATAGAACTACATAACATGCTGAAAAGTAAGAGAAACCATGTGTACCTCCCCCCGCCCTCCCACCCAGAGTTCTTACTGAGAAGCTTCCTCTAAGCTTACCTGACTATTGCCTGACTGTGGAAATAATTAATTATTAGGGTTGTAAATGCACTTTTCAGTCTTTGTAGCCTCAGCTGTTAGGAGTTAGTTGATAACTGAAATTGTTGGGCCTCTTAGGAGTGACTATTCTGGAAAATCTCAATGTGGAAAGCCATTTAGGAAGAAGTTGGGGCTAACAGTGGGATCTTTATCTGGATTCAGCTTAACAGTTCTTACATTTTAATGGTGCTTGCTGTCCATGTCCATTTGGGCTTGTAAAAAGTTGCTTGTCTTGCTCCCCGAGGCAAAAATTGATACCCAAATCTGTAAAAATAAATGGTGTGGGTTCCATTTGAATAAAGAAGACTTCTTGTGCAAGGTTATATCCTCAGCGGCAGAGCCAGCATTAGTTGGCTTTTTCACTGTCAATCCCATGATTTTGTCTTAAAGATCCTTGATCTGTAACAGAGTAAAGGAGTGATGGAATTTAAAACTGACTTCTCAGGTGTTTGGACGGGGGATTCCAGCCATGGGAGCGTTAGATCTTGAATTTTCTGAGAGCTGTGGACCTCCGGCGTCCCTTGCTTGCTCTCTGCTTCCTTTTGCTTCCTGGCCTTGGCTTTGGGCACGGTGCTGCTGTAACATGCTTGCTCCATGAACCCCTCAGGTGAAACAGTGTCACTGGTGGACGTGGACATCTCCCAGCGGGGCCTGACCTCTCCACACCCTCCAACTCCCCCTCCTCCTCCAAGAAGAAGCCTCAGCCTCCTAGGTATAGTTTCCTTCCCTCTTCCTTCTTGCCCTGTGGGAGGGTGAGCTCTGTCGACCTGTTGTTTTTTTGCCAGGAACCAAACAGACTCCTGGGTTTCTAATGATGACCCAGTTATTTCATTTCTTGTCCCATTCTCAGCACACCCCTCTCATCTCTGAAGTGGTTAAATGGGTCTCTTACCTGCATGCTGTAATATCTACTGTCCATATATTGTTTCAGTCTTTATTTATTTATAAAGAGTACTTATCTTGTTCTGAATCTACTGCCACTGGGCAGCTTAGGGATATCCTTACTTTCCTACTTGCAAGCAAAGGAAACCAGATTAAGGTGATTGTGGCCCTCTGTGCAAAAAAGATAGGGTGAAGCTCAGGCTATTTTGCCCCAGAGGGCAGCCTGATGATCCTTTTCCCTCTCCTCTGCCTTCCCTGTGCTCATTCTGTGCCCATATTTCTGAACCTCTTGCTTTTGTTCTCTCTTCTAGATGATATCAGTGGGACGCTGCCTACATCTGTCCTTGTGGCTCCGATGGGGTCTTCCCTGCAGTCTTTCCCCCTACCTCCGCCTCCTCCACCCCATGCCCCAGGTTAGCTTAGCTTAGAGGCAAGACTTGCAAGAATGGGGAGTACAAAGTGAAACACTTTGGAAGGATGGGAGAGATCTATTTATGGAAATAAAAGAACTTAAGAGAAAGCTTAAGTCATATCCCTTTGACTGGACCAGAACTCCTTGGAAATGAGGTCAAGCACTAGTTATTTTAGCCTGTTTTCTTTATGGAGGCAAATCTGATTTTTGGTAGAAATAAAAGACTGTTGGATTTTTTTTTGTCTCTTTGCTACTGAAACTTGTTTGCAATCCTTGAGTCAATATCACTTAGGAAACTGCCTTAATTTCAGTAGAGTGAGGAGGTTTAATGTGTTGCTGGTTTTCAAAGTTCTGTGGTTTTTCTAAGCTTTTAGCATTTACTGCAGCCTTGTAAATAAGTACCAAGCATTCAGTAGCCCATACCTGCTTGGCCAGCCCCCAGTGCCCAAGGAATAAAATGAATGAAATCAGCATTCTTTTCTACTTGCCTGACAAAATCTACTTGCTTGGCAAAATCGTTGCTCTTCCTGGGCAAGTTAAGTGAGTCACTATTTCCAAGGCTGCCTTACCGGCACTTCACCTCGAGGTGGGAGAAGTTGGAATCGCTCTAGGCTGGTGAAAGCCCTGAAGTAGTCACCTTAGTCAGGTTAGTGAGCTGCTGCCTCCCCCTTTCCTGGGGTTAAACGCCCCCACCCATCCTTCACAGCTTACACGAGCCCACACAGCTTTTTGTCCCAGCCCATCCAGCTCTTCCCTACTGCTTTGGCTTCCACCCTTTCCAGCTTAGCTTCTAATGCCTTGCCCGTCTTCAGTTAGCATCTCTGTTTGGGGGGAGGGAGGGTCTACTTGAAGTTGGGAACGATAAGGGTCAATAAGTGACCACTGCTGTCTTGCCCTGCAGACGCGTTTCCCCGGATCGCTCCCATCCGAGCCGCTGAGTCCCTGCACAGCCAGCCCCCGCAGCACCTCCAGTGTCCCCTCTACCGGCCTGACTCGAGCAGCTTTGCGGCTAGCCTGCGAGAGCTGGAGAAGGTGGGTGGTGCCTGAGGCCTGACAGCTTCCTCCTCTCACATTCTCCTAATTCTAAGCCAGGCTCCCCTTCTGTTCTTTTTAGAGGAAGAGTAGTTTCCTTGCTTCTGTATTTACAGTGACAAAATAATATGTTGCTATCATTAGTTCTATGAGATGTTGTAAAATTGAATCTGAAAAAAGTGTCTGAACCTAATGAGAAAAGTTATGGAGAAATATTTACATAGTCTAAGCTGACCTAGGTCCCTCATCTCTTCTTTGTAGGGCTTTGGTAATGGAACTGTAAAATTATTTTTCTGTTACTTTTGGAGGTCTGAAAGTGTGATGAACCCGATATTCATTGCTAATGGTTGAGGCACTCCTAGCAGCTTTTACCTACTGCAGTGTTTTGGAAATGGGGGGGTTCTTGTGGTCAGAGTAATTGTGCTGAAAACTTTGACATTCCTGTGTTCTAACTCCTTGCCACTTCTTTGATAGTGTGGTTGGTATTGGGGGCCGATGAACTGGGAAGATGCAGAGATGAAGCTGAAAGGCAAGCCTGATGGTTCTTTCCTGGTACGAGACAGCTCCGATCCTCGTTATATCCTGAGCCTCAGTTTCCGATCACAGGGTATCACTCACCACACCAGAATGGAGCACTACAGAGGTGAGAGGTGCTGGCATTTGAAGGAAGCCTTCTTTCCCCTTTGGCTTTTTCTACCTTTGCTATCTGACTTTCTCATTGGAAGGAGTCACAGAAATGGAACTGTGAATAGGTAGGAAAATCTCATGGACTCAATTGAATATTGATATATGGGCACTGATTTCGAGCACAAGAAATATTGGTGGGGATGGTGAGGAACATAAATGTTCCATTTAAAAGTTTTCTCAGCACATCTTGTCTCCTAAACAGACTCTGAAGAAGACTATTGAAGAACAGAATAAAGCCAGTAAAACTGTCTTGGTAGCAGGAAGAAATAACGTAGGACCATGAGACAAATTCTCTCAAGCTTTGGTTCATGATTAAACTTAGCATCTAGAGATATTAGTCATGTAGATAAAGAGGAGAATTTGTTGATCCTGTGACTGTTCTGTTCTGAATTTGTTTGCCTGGCAGTGACATCTATGATAATTATGTCTTTTTCTGGTCAGCTTTGTAGTCTTGTAGGAAATAGTCATCAAAACTCTATGAGAATTTGTGGAATCAACATACTGTCTGTCTTCCTCTGTGGTCAGGCTGTGCTTAATATTCCAGTCATGTTGAGAAGCTGACTTGTTCAATACTGCTGTCTGGATGAACTTTGCATCAGGACATTTGGTATTTGATTTGGGCCACAAACTTGTAATGGTCATTGGTGGTGGGGCTGGCTAATACATACTTTGTCAAAATACCTGCAATATGCTACAAATTTAAAAATTGTGGAGAACTCTGGGGAGTTTTATGGACTTGCCCCTCCGATTCCTCTTCCTCTTCCCACATGTGATCAACCTTAAATGAACTGTGTGAGATACTGCATTTCACGTAAGGGGCTCTTTCATGCTCTTCTCAAGCACCACTGTATCTTTCCTGCTCTCAGTCGTGTTCTGCTGAATTAATTTGGTTTGCTTCTCTTGTTAGGCAAGAAGTAGCTGTTTAGGTTAGCATAGCTTTGTCTATGGTTTCCTCTGCCCCCATCTCTGCTTCCAAGATGCATGAAGAGAAAGGAACTTCAGTCCAAAGACTTGAGAGAATTAGTTAGAGAACTGTGGGGTAGACTGCTACTTGTTTTCCTGCTGTTCCTAAAAGCAAAAGTCAAATAAAACAAAACGCAAAACATAGCATTTCAGAGTGAAGTGCTTTTATAAACCTATTAAGATTATAAATGACTAGGCCATGGAAATGATGAATAAATGCTTGACCTCTAGGTTCCCGATAGGCGAGATGCCTATCCGAGAATATTTTCAAATGATTCTCCAATTACTTTTTGTTCAAAGGAACTTTTCTTCCTTGAATAAATGGAATTTTTAATAGAAGCCCTGGGCCTTTCAGTTGCCAGTTTGCAATGGAATATTTGTCTTCATCTTTTTAAGTGATCCTGAAAGAGTAGTCAAGGTTCTCAAATCTGCAGTTCTCTTGAGTATCCCTTTTGTGACTCTTTTGGATTTAGTGCTTTAGTTGTTGAAGTTTTTTTTTTTAAGTTATGGGAGTTCAGATTGCCTTTTGCCTTTGGAATTCTAAAGTTTGGGGTGGGATCTTTGTAACATGTTGGGGCGTGGGATTTTAGAAGCTATAGAAGGAAAAGACTTAAAATTTGATTTTTGTGCTTAACACGTACATGAATGAGTAAGACCCACAAAACCGCTGTTCCTGTCTTTCCTATTCTGTGCATACTTGAAGATTTAAATCTTTTTGAGGGAATGTCATTTAAACTTACTTTAGCATAGGCGCCTTTTCTTTATGGTCTATGGTTTAAAGATTAATGTTCATACTCAATAAAATCTTTTTATATCTTTTTTCTGACTCGAATTTATTATTGTTTAACAGAAACATTGTAAGACCTAATTTATATCTTATTAAAAGCAACATCTTTCTTTCCATTAGTTGTAGAACAAGCAGGAACAGGGACCTCTGACTCAGCTTGACCACAAGCTACCTTTCCAGGAGGGAAACTCATTAAAATGTTCGAGCCAGCTTCTCAAGTCTTCCTAAAGTAAGTTTTGCATTTTTACCTCTCCGTAACTTTCCATGGCAGGAACCTTCAGCCTGTGGTGTCATCCCAAGTTTGAGGATCGCTGTCAATCAGTGGTGGAGTTCATTAAGAGGGCCATCATGCACTCCAAGAATGGGAAGTTTCTCTATTTCTTGAGATCCAGGGTTCCAGGTAAGGCTATTGTTACATTAATTATTTAACTTACTTGGGTATGATCAAGCATAATGTCCACTCCCCACCCCTCCCTTCCCTCTTCCCCCACAGTTATTCAAAGCTTTATATTAACTATTTAACTTGAGTATGATCCAGTGCAGGATCTCTACCTCCACTCCTGCACCCACTCACCCAAAAAACTCCCAAACCAGAAACACTTAAAGGTTTTTTTCCTGGCTCTTATAGCATCCACTCTTCCTCGAGCCTAGTGGGTAATATCCTGTCCTTATACATTAATCCCCCAGGAGCCTGGTGGGCTATAGTCCATGGGGTCGCAAAGAGTTGGACACGGCTGACTAACACACATATTGAGAAGGAATCTTTGCTTCTCTGATCACATGAATGAGAAAACTGATCCTGCCCCTGATGTCTGGGTGTCATGTATTCACATTTAACTTTCAGAGGTCTTTCCTTGTCCCTAATCCAGGCATCTCACATTTACATGTGAAACAGCTCTCAGGTCATTTTCATGGGAAACTGGGAAAGTAAAAGAGTCTTCACTGGAAATGGGAGTGTCAAGGAGGCTAAATTTAATAGCAGTCTGCTCTGGATTCTGTGCATTTGTACTAAAATTTCTGTCGGAGAGTAGATAACTTTGTTGTGTCCTGTATCCCTGCCAGTATTGAATTCAGAGACTAGTCTCCGTTTGGGAGCACTGGCAGTACCTATCCTGCCCACTAAGTAGGGGGTATCTGTATCATCTTTGTTGAAGGGATGGTTTGGAGGAATCTGCTTTTATAATGTTGGAAAAAAGTAAAACGAGAAATTTGTAAGATAGAAACAGAACTTAAAATGAGAACATCATGCTTTCCTGTTGAATCAAATTAAGATTCTTAAACCAGGTGTCAAGAAATTGCTCTAAAAAGAAGTTATGGGGAAGCCTCCGGCAGAACATCAGTAACAGGATTGAGCCAGGTTACAGGAATGTGTTTTATAATCTTGGTGATTTAAATAAGGCATGACAGGGTGTGAACTGTATTAATTCTCACTTCATTAACTACTCGCCTCAGTGCTGTCAACACGGTTGGGTCTCATGCAGTTGACTTGGTTAAATGGAAAAAGTTAGATCCTTTCTTATAGGAACTGATTCTGCCTAGCAATTTTTAGAGTTTGTGGCTTTTGGGGGGTGTTTATTTAATAAACAAACAGTATTGAATAAACTCAGTATCAAAAATAAGCCACTTCTCCACCTCAGAGAGGGATTCCCACGTGGCTCAGTGGTAAAGAATCCCCCTGCCAATGCAGGAGATGCAGGTTTGATTCCTGGCTTGGGAAGATTCCCTGGAAGAGGAAATGGCAACCCACTCCAGTATTCTTGCTGGGAAAATCCCATGGACAGAGGAGCCTGGTGGGCTACAGCCCTTGGGGTCGCAAGAGTCATATGTGACTGAGCACATACGCTACCCTTAGAGAGCTCTTAGCTTCAAAAAGGGGACAGGTAGGAAGAGAAGGCAAGAGCCCGTGTTAAATTCTATATAAAGCCTGGTGGTGATTGACAGGGACAGGGTGGGTAGTCATATCTGTTTGTGGGTGAACCAGGGAGATCCTCTCAGAGGAGTCTGGAGCATGTATCACTTGTAGAGTATTGAGAAACTTCGTGGAATCTTGGACTCCTCGGGTATAGCTCATTTCATTCCACAAATGTACCCTGTCTGCAGAAATTTTAAGTAAGATTTTTAACATTGCTGAAGGTTAGTACCTGCAGTGATTGCTGCTATTTGTTATGTGCCTACCTACCATGTGCCAGGTATTTTGTCAGGGTCTTTATTTAAATATCTCTTAATTTCTTGCAGCAGTCTCAAAGTTAGCTAATAGATTGATCTCTTGAAAAAAATTTTTTTTTTATTTTGTCAATGAAGAAGCTAAGCATGTCTCAAAAGTGAAGCCACTTACTCTAAAGGTTACTCAGCTAATCAGTACTGAAGCCAGGATTCAAACCGAGGTCCAACTGACTCTTAACTCCTGTGCTTTACTTCCCATCCTGTGCTATGGGGAAAAAAAATAGCAGTAAGCAAGTTGGAGATTGAGTTTCCTGGCATTTGTTGAGAGGACATAAAGAAGTCAGAATTGTGTTTATCTGTGGATAAACACAGTGGAGAGTGGAGAGTGTCTTTCTAGGATACAAGTAGGATATCTATTTGCACTTAAAATTGTAATCAAGTTGAGAAGGGAAAGCAAATTAGTATTTGCCCCTAGACCATGAGTGACTTCTCTTTGAAAGATTGGGACAAAGAAGGCCAGATCAGTGTCTCCTTTACCATTGTTTGCTGCCTCCCTTTGCTTATCAGTGGTCTAGGCATTCTGTAAGGCTGACGTTATTAGGGGAGAGGATTCCCGTGAGGAGGTGGTAGTCATTAGATTTAGGTTGAGCTCTGTCAGCCTATACCAGGGATTTTAACTCAGTGGATGGTAAAGGAGCCCTTTTGTTTAGACTTTGGGATGCTGGTAACTGCCTGCAAGGGGCTCGTATTGTTTCATTTAACCCTTATGAGATCCCTTGAAGGAATGTTACAGTCTCTCCCTCATTTTTTATCTTCTTTAAAGTACAGATTATGAAACCGATGCACAGTGAATTACAGAGTCAGGATGCAGAGTCAGGTTTTTCTGGCTCAAATCTAGAGCTGGATGTACTAGCAGCATATCCAGCCTGGTGTAAAAGGATGCCAGGGATTATAGGGATTATAAAGCCAGCCCTAATGAAAGTTTTAGATGGCACCAAGTGAGAAGCAGAAACAATTTAATAAGTAGAATAATTAGCAATTGGGGGAGAAATCACTGGTCAAGGATGGCCCCTGAGCTTAGTGTGCCCCTTATCTCTTCTCATGACAGTGTGGGAACATGGTCATGGTAAACCTGAGGTTGCTGATTACATCTCGGTTTGGTCCGATTCACAGTTGTAAGCTAAACACCTAACACCAAGCAGTAGTCTCCAAAAGAGAATGTGATTGGATTAGCACAAAACTTCTGATACTGTGAGAGCCAGAACTCAACTTGAATGTGTTCTTAGTTGGAAGAATCTCCATCATCTCTGAAGTGCCTGAAGAGAAAATAGTTTTTGTTTTTTTAATCACACTTTGAGTCGGACACTCTAAGGAAATCCATTGCTTCCATCATCATTAAGACTATAATTAATTGTTCAATGATATGTTTTCCTTGTATCTCAGATTTCTCAATTCAGTCCTGTTAACAGACATTTGGGGTTCGATATTTCTGGTCTTCAGGGAACAGTTTGTTGTGGGAGAAAGACCTGGGTATTTGGGTGCTCAGACCTGAAAGAGATTCTTTTTACTTTTTTTCTGAAAGAGATTCATCATGCCTGCGTGCATGCATGCTAAGTCACTTTAGTTGTGTCTGCCTCTGCAACCCTATGATCTGTAGCCCATGAGGCTCCTCTGTCACTGGGATTCTTCAGGCGAGAATACTGGACTGGGTTGCCATGCCCTCCTCCAGAGGATCTTGCCAACCCAGGGATCGAACCCACATCTCTTACATCTCCTGCATTGGCAGCTGGTTTCTTTACAACTTGAGCCACCTGGGAAGCCCTCATGCCTAACCCTGGTCCTTTGGGGGAAAAAAAAGAGCAAAGTGGCTGGAAATTGGATTTGTGCACAGCACCTTGGCATGAGGACCAGAGGAAAGTTCTTGATGACCACTGTTGTATCTTGCCTTTCCCTTTCAGCTGCACTGGTGTCTTATGTTGGATTTATCTCCATTTCTGATCTCTTCAGTGAACATGCTTTGGATGTCAGAGTTCTAATTGTTTGCTGTGTTTGGGGGCAAACAGTAAACAATCAAGTTAACACTAGGGAATATCAGAATTCACAGGTTTCAGATTGCTGTTTGTGAACCTAAGTCTAAAAATAACACAATTAAATAGACAAGTATATATGGTCATTGAAATTTAAATAGGCAAATAGTCAGATAATTGTATGCTACTATTATCCTGATCTCTTTAAGTGCAAGTCCTATAGTACTGTCTTTGGGAATAAATAATTAGGTGCATAAATTACTTTTGTCTCTGAAACATCATGTTGAGTTTAGCAATATTACAACCAACCTCCCAAAAGCTTTCTGTTCATCATAGTGTAATTTACTAAAGACTATTTTTAAAGCATATGAGTGAAAAGGTAAAATTCAAAGAGGCATTTGAACCCAGGATCATTTTAAAACCACTTGAGTTTAAATATATTCAAGAGAGAAATCCATGTATGAATTTTTTTTTAATGGTATATGAGGAGAGGGCCAAGCAATGGTGTGTGTGAGTGGATGAGGGCTTTTGTTGTTGTCCAGTTGCTAAGTCGGGTCCAACTCTTTGGGACCCCGTGAACTACAGCACACCAGGCTCCTCTGTCCTCCATTAATCTCCTATCATTTGCTCAAATTCATGTCCATTGAATTGCTGATACGATGTAACCATCTCATCCTCTGTTGCCCACTTCTTCTCCTGACCTCAATCTTTCCCAGCATCAGGGTATTTTTCCATTGAGTCATCTCTTCACATCAGGTGGCCAGAGTATTGGAGCTTCAGCTTCAGCATGAATCCTTCCAATGAATATTCAGGGTTGATTTCCTTTAGGATTGACTGGTTTGATCTCCTTGCTGTCTAAGGGACTCTCAGGAATCTTCTCCAGCACCACAAATCGAAAGCATCAGTTCTTCAGGACTCAGCCTTCTTTATGGTCCAACTCTCACATTCATACGCGACTGCTGGAAAAACCATAGCTTTGAGTATATGGACCTTTGTTGTCAAAGTGATGTCTCTGCTTTTGAATACACTGTCTAGGTTTGTTATAGCTTTTCTACCAAGGAGCAAATGTCTTTTAATTTCATGGCTGCAGTCAGCGTCCACAGTGATTTTGGAGCCCAGGAAAATAAAATCTGCCACTACTTTCACTTTTTCCCCTTTTATTTGCCTTGAAGTGATGGGACCAGATTCCCTGAACCTAGTTGTTCTAATGCTGAGTTTTAAGCCAGCTTTTTCACTCTCCTTTTTTGACCCTTATCAAGAGGCTCTTTAGTTCCTCTTTACTTTCTACCATTAGAGTGGTATCATCTACATATCTGAAGTTGTTGATATTTCTCTTGGAATCTTGATTCCAGCTTTTGATTTGTCCAGCCCGGCATTTCGCATGGTGTACTCTTCATAGAAGTTAAATAAGCATGGTGATAGTATACATTCTTGTCATACTCCTTTCCCAATTTTGAACCAGTCATTTGTCCCTCATCCAGTCCTACCTGTTGCTTCTTGACCTGCATATAGGTTTCTTAGGAGACAGATAAAGTGGTCTGGTATTCCCATCTCTAAGAATTTCCCATAGTTTGTTGTGATCCACACAGTCAGGTGTTAGCATAGTCAGTGAAGCAGAACTACATGTTTTTCTGGAATTCTCTTGCTTTCTCCATGATCCAACAAATGTTGGCAATTTAACCTCTGGTTCCTCTGCCTTTTTGTAAACTCAGCTTGTACATCAGGAAATTCTTGGTTCACATACTGCTGAAGCATAGCTTGAAGGATTTTGAGCATAGCCTTGCTGGCATATGAAATGAACACTGTTGTTTGGTAGTTTGAACATTCTTTGGCATTGCCCTTCTTTGGGATTGGAATGAAAACTGACCTTTTCTAGTCCTGTGACCACTGCTGAGTTTTCTATATTTGCTGGCATACTGAGGACAGCACTTGAACAGCATCATCTTTTAGGATTTAAAATAGCTCAGCTGGAATTCCATCACCTCCACTATCTTTGTTCATAGTAATGCTTCCTAAAGCCCACTTAACTTCACACTCCAGGATGTCTGGCTCTAGGTGGAGTGACCACACTATTGTGGTTATCTGAGTCATTAAGATCTTTTTTGTATAGTTCTTCTGTGTATTCTTGCCACCTCTTTTTAATCTTTTCTGCTTTTGTTAGGTCCTTACTGTTCCTGTCCTTTATCATGCTCATCCTTGCATGGAATGTTCCCTTGATATCTCCAATTTTTTTGGAGAGATCTCTAGTCTTTCTCATTCTGCTGTTTTCCTTTTTCTTTGCTTATTCAATTAAGAAAGGCTTCTTACCTCTCCTTGCTGTTCTCTGGAACTCTGCATTCAGTTGGGTATATCTTACCCTTTCTCCCTTGCCTTTTGCTTCTCTTCTTTCCTCAGCTATTTGTAAAGCCTCCTCAGACAACCACTTTGCCTTGTTGCATTTCTTTTTCTTTGGGATCGTTTTGGTCACTGCATTCTATACTGTGCTACGAACTTCCTTCTATAGTGCTTTAGGCACTCTACCAGATCTAATTCCTTGAATCTGTTCATCATCTCCACCATATAATCAAAAGGGATTTGATTTAGATCATACCTGAGTGGCCAAGTAATTTTCCCTACTTTCTTCAATTTAAGCCTGAATTTGGAAATAAGGAGCTCATGATCTGAGCTTGTGTTTCCATAGTGTAGTGGTTAGCAGGTCAGCTTTACATGCAGAAAGTCCTGGTTTTGACCCCCAGGGGAACCAGCCCCTGAGGATGAGGGTTACAGTGCTTTAAAAATACAAGCATTAGATTTGAAGGGATAGGGGTGAGAAGTCAAGGACTAAGAGAGACTGGTCCTGAATCAAGAAGCTGTGCCTGTCTCGACAGCACTGCCCGTTAGACAGTCACATGGTCAGGTGCTCTGGGAGACTCCTGGAGAACGCTCCTTTGAGGTTCACTGGGCTCAACTCTTCCTCAGACAGAGCAAGTCTTCAGGGAAGGCCAGCTCTGTTGGTTCTGTGCTGTGAGCGAATTCTCTAAGCTCAGTAGGCCTCAGTTTCTTCATTGAGCAGTGGGGGTATTAGTAGTATCTCTTTGGGAGCACAGCTTTGAAGACTGAGCTAGGTGATTTTAAGATAAGCTTACTTATATAGCATAAAATGTATTTCAATTTTTTTTTTTTAGAAAGTCTGTTGTTAACAACCATGAAAAGGCTTTGGGAGACAATCTGCAAGCTTTAATTTTTCTTCTCATGGCTTCAAACGAAATTTTAAAACTGTTTGAAATTAAACTCCAAAAATAGATATTTTATTTTCCAACAAGTTGTATCTACAGAATTTCATTTGATTCAACAATGGTTGAGAAAAGAATTCTTTCAAAGGTTTTGCAAACAGATTCTCTCAGAGCAGTTTGCTTGTTTACCTTCCATCGTCCTTTGTTTGTTGAAAGGAGAGTATTCTTTATTCTCTTGGATGTGTTTCAGTGTCCCTGCCATTGTGGGTGTCTCTGGTTCTGGGGCATTGACCCCTGGGGGTTGGAATTTCCCAGCATGGAGCCTGCTGATACTGTGATGGAACATGAGTGCGGGGCTTCCATTGGGCCTGACTGGCTTTAGTCAGCAGGCACTTGTACACAGAGCAGTACCAATTCCAGCTCGCCCAAGCTACTCGAGTTGCTTTTCTTTTACAAGTATTATCCTGGGCTTCCCAGGTGGTGCAGTGGTAGAGAATCCACCTGCCAAGCAGGAGACGCAAGAGATGCTGGTTTGATCCCTGGGTCAGGAAGATCCATTGGAGAAGGAAATGGTCAATCCACTCTAGTATTGTTGCCTGGGAAATTCATGGACAGAGAAGCCTGGTGGGGTACAGTCCATGGGGTTGCAAGGAGTTGGACGCAACTGAGCACACATAATTAAAATGAACCTTTTAGAAAAATAATTAACCAATATGAATATTATTTGGAAGTTGTTTATCTAAAAAAGAAAAAGTATCATCTTCTTTTTTTCTGTTCCTGTACCCAACCTGAATTTTCAGAAGTAAGAAGGGTGGTTGGTGGGGGTGGAGTATTGGCGGGGAGTGAAAGGTAGCTAAACCTGACTGTCCCGGCCTGAAGTAAATAACTCTGTGACCAGTCTGTAAAATTTGATCCTAGATGCTGCCTTCTGCTTACTGTCTCTCAGTTGGAATTTGGTGGGGACCCCTCTGAACAGCCTTTTTGAGTCCTCACCTTCTAGAGATACTCTAGAAGATACTCTAGATGCTAAACAAGTGTCTCCCATTCCCAACAAGGATACCTTTGGCCGTTGTCCTTCACTGAGAGCCTTGGGCCTGAGATTAGCCACTTGGCTCCAAGCAAAGTCTCTAGCTCGGCATTTTTCATTGAGCTGTCCGAAGAGCAAGACTCTCAGTTGTTAGCAGTCAGGCTGGGGAGGCCCCCTGCCAGAGGGTAGGCTCCCCTGAGTATGAAATATGGTAGCAGTACTATGGAAACCAAGTTTTGTGGAGGGGCGCTTTTGCACAGAAGACCTGTGTGAACTGTAAAGAAGCTCCATTTCCCTTCCCTGGATTCTCTTCATAAGGAAGATTATATATAGTTAGCTGCCTTGTCTCATCTGAATATTTCTCTTGGTTTTTGTTCTTGAAGGACTGCCACCAACTCCAGTCCAGTTGCTCTATCCAGTGTCCCGATTCAGCAATGTCAAATCCCTCCAGCACCTTTGCCGATTCCGAATCCGACAGCTCGTCCGGATCGATCACATCCCGGATCTCCCACTGCCTAAGTATGATGGGGTCTTTAGAGCCAGAGCAGGAACGGAGGGTTACTTACAGTGTTAGTGAGGCCTGCAAGTGGAGTGTCCAGGCAGAGTCTGGCAACTCCCAGGAATCATCTTTTCACATCTCCTGTGTCTTAGCACCTAACTTAGAATGTCACAGTACAGCCCCGAAGGAGGAAGGTGTGTGCATGTGTCACTTTCCCTTCTGCAGACTCTGCGAAGAGTGGAGTGGAGATGGTAAGAGGGAGGGAGACAGAACTACAATAAGTGAGAATGTGGGGATTTTCTCAAGTTGGCAGAGACTTTTTGCTGTTGTCTCAACCATATAGGGATTGAAAAGAAGGGAGGGTTGAATAAAGTTGATCTTTCTTTTTTAAGTTCTGTATAACACTTGTGTGTACCCCTCTTGTATTATTCGTAGGCCTCTGATCTCTTATATCCGAAAGTTCTACTACTATGATCCTCAGGAAGAGGTATACCTGTCTCTAAAGGAAGCGCAGCTCATTTCCAAACAGAAGCAAGAGGTGTTGGAACCCTCCACGTAGCGAGGGGCCCCCTGCTGGTCACCACCAAGGGTATGCATACTCTGCCTCACTGTCCAGCCTGGTGTCTTCCTGGGCAGTTACCCTGCACTGGACCTAGCCCTCTTCCTCCCACCCCATGCGCATACCCCAATCCAGGCATCTGTCCAGAGAATTGCCACATCTGATCACGGAGTCCCAGGGGGGCACATACCCCAATGGGGAGAACAGATAGACAAGAGAGGCTTGAGTATTTGCAAAGCAACATGCTTGCTAATCACTGAATATGTATAAAGAGGAGGCCATAGAAGTGCAGCTGTTGCACAAATGACATGTAAAGCAGGAAACCAAAGGGGAAGAAAACTTCATCAAAGGGAACACAAAATGCCCTTAATTTCAATAGGCATGCACTTCAGTGAGAGTTCTCCTGTCCCATGGCTTGGAATATGGGAATGAGGAAAAAACAGCTTGCTCTTCTGTTTAAAATTCCATCTGGGCCACTGAAAAGTAAATTGGTGAAAAGAGTAAATGAATTAACTAAGGAATTCATTTATATAAGAGTGTATCCCATTGCTAGAATGAGTTTTATTTGTTTGTTTTCCCACAAAATACCTTGGAATACTGGTTTGTACAGATAAATTCTAATTAGTCTTGGGGATTCCCTGGTGGTCCAGTGGTTAGGACTCCATGCTTCCAGTGCTGAGGGTTCTGGTTTGGTCCCTGGTTGGGGAACTAAGATCCCCACATGCCTCGGGGCTCCGCCAAAAATAAAAGTCTTCTTAAATTACATTAATGTGAATATTGAAAGTAGAGGTAAGTAGGGAACAGAATTACCAGAAAGTGGTGATTTTGATAGTAAGGGTTACGTGTCATGTTCTAGTGATCTACTGCTGGGGTCAAAGACTACCCTCCCCCTCTCAGTGGGGAGTGTCCTTTCTAAGCACTGAATTCTTCTAACCTCATCTGTTTCTAATCACATCCCCAATACAAAACAAAGGGGAAGAGCCCATAGGTGTGACAGCTTTAGAGTGGAAAGGGGGCTTTAACTCTTCCCACCCTCTCAGCTCTCTTCATAATGGGAGAGAGTGACAGCTGGTGTTTTTGTTCCGTGGGTGTTTTTGGGCCATGACTCAAATGACCCCAGCTGTGTGTCTCCTCTTGGCTCTGGATGTCTCTGATCCTGTGCTCTTGAGGGGAGAGCATGTGAGCCAGGACTAGCCAGGGGAGGAGGAATGAAGAGAGATCAAGAAATGGTAACTCTGGGAGGCAGTTGAGTTTTAACTTAAAGGATCCTGGGCTGGATGTGCAGTTTCTTTGTCAAATCTTCAGTTACAGGCATACCTGGGAGATGTATCACGGGTTCTGTTCCAGAACACTGGAAAAAAGCAAATACCGCAATAAAGCAAGTCACATGGTTTTTTTGGTTTCCCAACACATATGAAGAGTTTTATCTACACTATACTGTGGTCTGTTAAGTGTGCACTAGCATTATGTGTAAAAAATCTACATACCTTAATTTAAAAATACTTTATTGCTAAAAAATGCTAACCATCATCTGACAATGTGGAGTTGCCACAAACCTTCAACTTATAAAAGTGCAGCAAAACAAGTTAAATAAGGTGTGCCTGTATTGGCAAGTTGTGTGCGCTCAGAAGTGTCTCCTAAAACATTTAAGTGCTCTGTTGTCTAGGAGGGTTTCTCTGTTTGGTGGCTTCGCAGTGATTAGGGTAGGGAACTAGGGGAACCCACCTACTCATCTGCACTGTTGAGGAATAATTGGGACCCTTCAATTAGAGCACTGCTTCTGTGGGTGCTGTGCCTTAGGAGGAGCCTACATGAGCACATGTACATTCAGAGAAAGGTTCAGGATGGTGGGGGCTATCCACACTTCATAATGCAGGGAATAAATTATTATCATGGACCAGAGAAGTTTTAAGGTGAGAGGGGTTGGAGGCTAAAAGAAGTGTTTGATAGATTTTCCTAAGAGTGATCAAACTTATTCTGTGTGGTTCCAGGGGGCAGGGCAGGTACACAGAGTAAGTTATAAAAGAGTTCAGTCTCCAGCTTTATTTCTACTTTATTTTGTTTTTGGTCGCACTGCACAGCATGTGGAACTTTCCTGACCAGGGATTGAACCTGTGCCCCGTGCAGCAGAAGCTTGGACTCTTAACCACTGGACTATCAGGGAAGTCCTCAGTTTATCTTTAGAAGAACCTTTTGAACAGATCCAAATATGGAATGGTTTTCCACAGGAGTTAGTGAATTCCCCATTTGTTGTTTCAGCAGACCTCTATATATGAAGTAGCCAGTATGAACGGGGAAGACAGTGCTGAACAAGATAGTCAAAGGCCCTGTTCTCACAGAGCTGCAGTTCTTTAGGGAGAGATAGACAGCAACTAGTGAGTAAGTGAATTGGCTAGTTTCAGTTGACTGTATATGTTGTGAGGGAAATTAAATTGGGTGAAGTTCAGTGGTTAGTGGTAACATGTCATTCACACTCAAGTTTGAATGATCAGGGAAGGCTTTTGTGAAGAGGTGACATTTCAGCTGAGATTTGAATATCAAGGAGTTAACTGCGAGAGGACTTGGGCGCAGGCATTCTAGGCAAGAGATCCTCTTAAGTACAAAGGCCCTGGTATGATCAGGCATAGGCTGGGGCTGGCCATTGGTCATGAGTGTGGAGGGGCAATCCTGTATTTGTAGAGGATTGCACTGAACTCCTGGGGTCTCTTTATTGCTGTGACACTGGGATTGTTGCTTGTAGCAGAGAACAAGCACCCTGCTGTGCTTGCTCTGAGGACCCCTTGAAAAAAAGGGAGGTTCTCTTGGGAATTCTTCCCAAGGGAAAGGCCTTTTAAGGTATGAAATTTGGCCATTATGATTTCTTGTTGGTCAGACTTGTTTTAATTTCAGAGTTCTTAGAGGCCACTTGGTCTGTGCATGCTGTTTCCTGGAGAATTTCTTGCCAGGGTGCTTGGAGTTACGGGACAGAGTGACAGCTGGCACAGTGCCCTTCTTGAATCGGAAGGTTGACACCGCTCTAGCCTTTGTGATGATATGTCAGCCCTCTTCATTGGCCAGAAGCCGCAGGCTTGCAGCTGTTTCTAGCCTGACTCACCAGGGATTCCTCCAGGGACTCAGTTCCTTTTTTGGTCCCTAGAGCAGGTGGGCCTTAGGGGAGAAGCAGAGGGGAAGAGTGAATGGAAAATAAAAGGGAAAGGGAAAGAGAAGGGAAGTGGTGTGAGGGGTATCTTTATTTGTCATTTTAGGGCCTTTTTTGGCAACCAGGTGGTAGGCTGCTCAGGTCTCCATGATAAAGGTCACCCCTGCATCCCCAGCCACATGCAGTGTTTGTGGAAACACAGGGCTTTGCAGGCTACATTCTCCCTTTGAGCTGTACTTCTCTACTTCCAGAGGCTGTCCTTTGCCTCCGTTTTGATTCCACTGTATTGAGCCACTCTAATTTTCCACTTTTTTAACCTAGGCATTTGGTTGCCAAGCTCCAGTTTCAAAGAACCAAATGAAGCTACCATGAAAAGGAGAGTGAGGAAAACAGGAGGGAGTAGGAAGGATTGGGATCCTCTGTGCAAGAGACTGGTTCCCCTCACCACCTTGGGGCTTGGATGAAGCACAGCAGCGGACTCTGAGCAGGGTGCCACCATGTCACATCCAGCCCTGTGTTCCTGGAGCTGGATGAACTGCCCGGAAAACAGGAAGAAGTCTCAACACTGTTCCTTTTTCAGAAGTTTTGTTTTGTATATTTGCATATCTCGGTATAGACTCACCCTAAAGGCACCTGGGGTTTGTGCCCATTGGATTGGAAGTGGTGCTGAGGGTGAGTAGGTCTGGGGAAGGGAAGAAGAGGAGATCGGGTTGCCAGTGATGGTCATTCAGCTGGTGCCAAAGGCAGAATTCCAGTCTTCACATTGACCTTGAAGAGGGGAAAGAAGGAGACAGGGTGCAGATCAAGTTGGGAGTTGCTGATTGAGGAGAACCTGTTTCTCTGTAAGCATGGGTAGCTTTAGCAGGAAAGAAAGGAGGGTGGATATAGTCTCAAATAGAAGATGCTGGACAAAACCTGGCACATGGCCCTACTGGGGAAGTAGTGACTCCTCATATACCTTCCTTCTGAGGTTTAGGAACCTAATTTCAGAATCACCTCTCATAGAAGCTGTATTCGTTCTGTTTTACTGAATTCTATGACTTCACGTTAGCCCTGTTCTCCCCTCAACCCCTTCCCTCGTGATAACTTCATTTCACTCTGGTCATGGTAACATCATTCCTACTGCTTCTCCCAGCTGTCAGGCAGTAGTCTTTTCATCACCTGAGCAGTTCAGAGCTGCAGTCCCGGGCCGCTGCCGTTAATGGAGCGTGCTTCCAGATTCTTAATGGCAAACGGTACCTATGACTGAGGAGTCAGTGTTCCTCACCTCCATATGTCTGTCAGCTAGTAAGAGGGAATGTGGAGGAAGGTGAGAAAGGAAACTATTGTGCTCTTCCTAGAGAAAGCTCCCTCATGGCTCAGCTTTAATGGGATGTTTGAGATCAGTGAGGAGGGAGGAGAGCATTACAGCTCATCTTCTTAGGTTGGTCTGAAACAGGAGGTAGCAAAGGCTTCTTTATTTTCCTGAGTTCTTTCTAGCAACTCAGACATCTTCCTGAGTAATATCTTGTTTGCTCTCCTTTCATTGGGAAGTCTGTCAGATGCTGATTTGAGAGTTGCCTCTTTTCCAGATGGAAGTAGAGGAAGAGGGCGAAAAATTCCAGTGCTTTTCTGAACTGGGCCATTGTCAAATCACATAGCATTATGAGTTTGCTTTTATGTAGAGTTACTCTGGGAAGAGGTTTGTTATTAAGATGTGAAAATTGAGCTGTTTGATCTTTATTACTCTTTTGCAGTAAGTGTTCCAGTAGACTTCCTCTTTTGGTTCCCCTGTGTTTATATCTGCCTCATCTAGTGAGATAAATAATGTCAGGTTTGTGTTTCCTGATGGTTTAGGGTGAGGCCCCAGTGTTTTGGTAATTTATAGGACTGCCTCACCTGGAAACATTGACCTTCTGCCTTACGTCCTGCGTGGAATGACCGTTCCTCCTCTTAGCTGAATAGGGTAGAAACTTGCATTGTTACCTGGCTGTCAAGAGGTAACCCACAAACTGAGCTTTGTAGCATAAACACAGCACACCTCTGCTTTGTTGTGTGGTGCCTCTTCTCTCTTTGGCTGTCGTGGTAGTATTACTAACCAGTTAAGATAGTGATCCCAGGAATTGGCTTAACCAGTGGGTCTTACCTCTTGAAGGTGCAAATTAACTTGCCATCTTGCAGAAAGTGCCACCCACCAAAAGCCTACTGACTGGAATCTACTGAGATCCTCAAGTGGCTGTTTTGCAGCTACCTGAAATCTTTTCTTTAGAAATTATGTTTTAGGGTGCACTTGCCTGGCCCTAGGCTAGCTACTGTGGAAAACACAAGAGGTGGAAGACATTATCTGGCCTAAGGAAACTTTTAGGTGATGGCCACATTTGGAGAATGACTCAGCGTGGCAGAGGAGAATCAAGGGCTGGCTCTTAAGTTCAGAGTGGGTAAGATCATGGTAGACCAGATGGTCTAGGAAAGCTCTGGGGCTGTGAGACTTTGGTTTTTAGGTGAGGGGAGGACACTGAGAAATGCAGGAACAAGAGCACAGATGCAGATATCTGCACAGTGTGTACTGAACAGTGCACAGCCCCAAGTTAGAACAGCGGCATCAAAGAATCCTTTTTCTGTGCTGTGGTGTAGACCAAAACTTCCTGGTCATCAGGTAGATGTGAATGCTGAGGGGTTATGATGGCACGGTGGAGCCCAGAGCCAGAAGTCAGCCAGGGGCCCCTGCCCCTGCCCGTGGCTGGGGCTTCACTGCTCTCAGCACAGCCAGAGGGAGGGAGGCACAGCCCTGGATCCCTTGTGGTACCAGCGGTTTCCACTGGAGAATCTATACTCTCAGGTAAAAATCCAAACCAGCTGAGGAGGCGTGACTCACCCTCAACCATCATCCTTTCTCCTCCCAGGAAGGGTAGTGTTGACTGTGTCTATGATCTGTCTGTGCGTGAGTCACAGCCCAGGCTATACCCTACTTCTTCCTCAGTAGAGTGGCTACAGAACAGAATTGTGCCAGGGGAGACAGGTTCCATCCAGAGGTGAGGAGGAAGGCACCAGCCCGGTCAGTCAACAGAGGGAGTGGGAGCAGCTGGCTGTCGTAAGCACCTCCCCTTCACCCTCCGGCAGTACCCCCGTCCCGCTACCAGTTCTGTGTAGTGCTAATTGAAAAGCAGTCTTCAGAAGGAACTCATTCCTTTTTGGTGGTGGTTGTATTTTCAAGTCACAGACTGGAAAAGGTTCTCACTTTTAGGGACCCGTCATTGGTTGTGGCTAGGTGATGTCAGTACCTCGGATCTGCCTGTTTAACCTTCTCTTGTTTATGACTGATCTACTGTAACCTTCCTCAGGACAGGTGTGAACCACTGTGAGCTAGTGACAGTTACTGCTACAACTTGCTATTACTTGAAACTCATGTGCTGTGGTCACACAGGAGTGAGGAGGTATGGGGTCTTTGGTGCGGGACTAGATAAATAGGTGACGACTAGGTCATAGGGACGGTTGGCGATGACCTTGGCCTGGTTGCCTGCCTGTGCCTAGATACAGTGAGTGTGACACCCTGGAAAGCCAGCCCTGGGTGGCAGCTCCCAGCCTCATGAGGGCAGAGGCGTGGTGGGGAGCCCGTCACCATAGTTTCTTCTGCTTTCATGCTTGTCCCTGGGGCTGATTCCACAAGCCCCTTATTAAGGTTGGGAGTGACGTGGGGATGGCCACAGAACCCCTATGCTTCCAGCAAGAACTGGCGAGAGACAGGGTGGTTAGTGTTCCCAGATCCAGGGATGAGAGACTATGGCAATGCTGGGTGCCAGCCTTGAAGCCCTCACCCCAGGACCCAGAAGAACATGGCCTGCTTGAAACCCTTGACCCTGGTAGGAAATGGCGATTGGAGGAACTTGCCCCCTTGGTTAGATTCCCCACTGCCCTACTGCCTCTCCCTAGGGGTTGAGCCCTGAAGTTAGAGGCCTCAGCACTGGGATGTACAGCTCCATGGCTGCTGGAAGGAGGTCTGAAAGTCTGTGTGCATGTGTGTGTGTGTCTTTATTTGCAGAAGTCTTGCCACTAATGGGGGTGTGGAGAGCATCTCCACTGAGGGGAGACCTGCTGTTTGTTGTCCACTTCTAAGAGAATGACATGCCCCTGTCCCTAAGGAAGGAGCTTTTGAGTTAGACATTTTCCCTATGGGAATCCTCTTGGTTTGGTTCATGGGAAAGGGGGAAGTGGAGAAGTGATTTTTAGCTCTTAATTGTTGACACAGCTGTTCTTACACGGAATTTGTGCTATTGCATACATGGAGCCATCTTTCTTTTCACTGCAGCAGTGTTTATCAGTAGTTCAAAATGATTTATTTGCTCCTGGGGAGTAAAACCTTTTTTATTAAAAAAGAAAAAGAAAAAAAAAGTGTGTCCCCTCCTCCCCCCGTGATAGCTATAGGATTATTGGGCCACACAGCTCAAGAAGGCAAAGTCAAGTCTGCCAGTCCCTGTGATCTATCCTGTTTTGACATTGAAGTCTTCATGCTCAGCACAAAATGGCAGGAGGCCTTGAGAAGATAAGAGTGAAGCCTTGGGAGGTGTGAGGTGAGAGTTGGAGCATAGAGACAGAGGCACTGGGGACTTAGATGCTGCAGTTAGAAAAATAGAGTAAGGAACTGTATTTAAATGATCGATTCTCTAATCTGCCAGGGAAAGACCTTTTTTTACATGCAGATTCCATATTGTCTTTGTCCTTTTCATGCTTCTTGACCTTCCTGGTAGATGCCCCTGAATTCTTCCTGTTTCCCATCTCTGCCCCTTCTCCCATTCCTTCCCACTCTGGTCCCCCTCCCAGGAAGCCAGTCCTGCATGCTGAGTCTGTGACATGCCTCCACGCCCATTTCATCTTCTCAGGAGGGTACCTGGCATTGCTTCCTCCCCCCTCCAACCCCCTCTTTCAAAATGCTGAGAGGGGCAGGCAAACAGCAGCCAGTCAGGGCAGTGGAAGACCTGAATGTCTGCTCGCAGCTGGACTGCGATCCTAGTTGCTCCTGGAGATGGAGTGTAATTGAAGTTAGGACACTTCTGATCAGAACCCAGGAGATCACAAACCACACAGCCCCGCACCGAGCTGCATCCTAAGCCCCCTACTCAGCTCAGGTGGAGCGGGAAGGCTGGTCTGACCACTCCATCCCTGGTGCTCCCTTGAACAGGGCCCTGCCCCTCACTGTCAGGCCCAGACCCTTCTCCAAGGGACAAGCGTAATCCAGGCACCGCTCTGGGGGCAGGCCCGTTGGAATGCCCGAACTGGTGCTGCCTGTGGCACAGCCACTGCTGTACATTTTCTGGTTGTTTATAAGGAACGCAACGAAGAGGGGTGTCAGTCTGGGCTCGGGGTGGTTGCCAGTTCTTCACCAGAGGGGAGCCACATCCCCTGCAACCACTTCGTCCTCTCCTGCCACCCCACCCTCCTCCAAGCCAAAGCGTGGCCTGGCTTTTGTCTTCCCACTTAGTTTTTCTCCTTTCCTCAACCTTTTTGTGCTTAATTTATTAAAATATTTGCTGTATAATTTATTTTCATAAACTATAAAAAATTACTAAATGGTTAAAATAGACTTGCAGGCCAATCTTAAATGGGGTGGGAGGGTCTGAGGGTGGGGTGGGGAAAGGGAAAGATGTTTTGATATAAACAAAGCAAATGCACTTTGGATGTGTTTTGGTATTTTTCTGGGGATAGATGGGGGGTGTTGGGATGTCCCTGTAGATTAGTTCCAGAATGGGGTGTCTGTATATACTGTATTAATAGGCATGTTTGACTCTTGTAAAGGGACATTAGTAGCTGCTGCAGGTCCTGTTTGGAAAACCCATGTATAATTCCCGGTTTTTTGTAAAGTGTCAGTGCGGGAGACATTTGACTCTTGTGTTTGTATCTCCTTTTTATGATTGCTGTACTGACCCATGTCTTTTTGCGGAAGGGGTGAAAAGAGATTTGAAATAAAAATGTTTAGAAATTATTTCATGGTATTTGGGTGGTTGTTTCTCAGTCCCTCTCTCATCTCATGACCCCTCACACCATAACGACCCACTGAGGGTCAGATGGCCCACCCTGGCACTCGGGGAATCCCTGTGATGTCAGCTAAACGGATCACATCCAGAAGTGGTCTTGTCAGAATTAGATTGGAAAATTCTTGAGGCTGATGGCCATTGCTCATAGCTGCTTTCTCCTTCCCTAGGAAGTGCAGGAGAATTCCAGAGAGCTTTCTGGGCCTTTCTGTTCTATTTTGGGAGAGTTCATACTGCATACCATAATGGTCATTCCTAGTTTAGACTGGCAGTCAAGGTTTTTCATGAGTTTAACCTGTGTCCCTCCTGTTTTTCTAGCCCACTCCCTCTTGAGTGGTCCTCTTTGGAGAGGAGAGGACCAGAAATGTTTCTCTGATTGTGGCTACTTGGAGCCAATCAAATCTTGCCTCTTAACTCTCTTACCCAGTCCGTCTCCAAGTTCCCCACTTAGAAGGCTGGCGCGCTTCTAACCTTGGCTTTAACCTTGGCACATTTTGGAGAGTTTTCTGCAGTTTCTCTGCATCCTCAGAGTGGAAAGCACACTCAAGTGAGCTGAAACCCTAGTTCTCAGCCATGGTGTTGTCTTAGGGTTGATTAGAGTGCCCCAGGAGGGGGTCTTAGGATCCCAGCTGGCCCCACTCAGCTCACACCCAAGTCGCAGGTCCATATTAGGATGAAATAATGTCTTAGCAATATTGATAGCTATTCTGTGAAGGCATGAACTCCTGATGAAAGTTCTCTTCCCTTTTGGAAGAAAAAAATGCTCCAAACTATGAAGTAAGAAGAACATTACAAAGGAAAATGCTTAACTTGGAATCAGTAATTCCAGTGCTCTAATGTCCCCCATTTGGATACAGTCTGTCAGTCATAAAGATCTTTGCCAACACCAACAGTCAAGAGTGTTAGTGGGCATTTCTTGAAAGTGAAGACATAGGTTTTCATCATTTCAAATCAACATTGTTCATGTTAGTGACGACGTGTGAGGTTTGTTGGGAAAGAGGTACTAGTCCCCTCTGGCTTGAGTGATAAAGCCATAGAAGAAAAGGCATTTTTTGGAAAGAGGGAGCCCCAAATAAAACAGTCCCTTCCCTCCTTCACCCCAAAACCTGAAACCACCTCCTTCAATTCCTATGTTTCCTGTCTACTTTCAGCTTCCACTTTTCATTCCATCTCACCTCAGTTGTGTCTTACTTACCATGCCTATTCCTAACCTCCTTGAATGCAGTTATAAGCACATGACAGTAACTGTGCAGATTTCCTCCTCCATTTCATCTGTGTCCTCCGATTGAGGGTGAGATGGGAAAAGTGAATTTTCTGTTTTGGTTCCTCTCCAGTCTCTTAGAGTGCAAGCATCTTGTGCCATATGGATTCTGAAGACCAACCGTTTTCCTTTGGTGCTCAGCCAAAGGCACGAGAGTTGACTCCAGCTCTGAAGAAGTACTAAAAGCTCTGAAGAGTCCATTAATCTCTACTGGAGCCCCTTCCCCAGAGGTTCTCAAGAGGAATTTTGACTGCAATTTTACTCTGTTCACAATCCCCATTTATGCTACGACCTGTCATGCATCCCTCCTCCATTGCCCTAGTTTAGGCATTTCCCCTTTTTCACCTGGACAATTTAAGCAGCTTCCCAACTGGTCTTCCTGCTTCCTGTTTCCCCTCTCCAGTCCTTCCAGAATAAAGATATGCTCAAGTCACTTCCCTAAATTACTGATGACTTTTAAACCAGATACAAAAACCTTAACTCCTCAACCTAATGTTCAAGGCCATTTCTCCTGCTCCCGCCACACAGGATGCACTTGTCACAGTGCATGACTTGAAGTTCCCAGATCATGGCATCCCTTCTCCTGACACTCCATCTTCCCTCATGTTGTCTTGTCTACCTGGCGGACCACTACTACTTACCCTCTTCACCTGCAGAACTGCTCATCCTTCAAGGATTTCCCTCCACAGTCACCTCTGGAATTTTCACCAGCGACTCTCAGCCAAACAAATGCTCCTTTCTCTGTTAAA